CAAAGACTCATTGGACCTGATGATAGGTGGAACAGTGATACAGTAGCATGTTGGCATTATTGAGTAGGTGAGATAATTGAAGATGTTAAAGTGGGAGAAAACTGAAAACTGCAAAAATCACACATTTAAAGGCACACAATTCCGGGAGCTTTGATTGTTAACTTTGGTTTATCTTATGACAGGGAATGGGGTCAGCTTTATTCTTGCTGTTGTCTCATTGGGACTGTGTGAACAAAGACAGTTATTCAGAATTAATATCTTCATACAACACCCTAAAATATTCCACTTTTCTAGGTAAACTGTGGAAAAGCAGGACTTTTATGTCTCTGGTTTTGTCTGCTGTATGACAGCTGACAGAGATGACAAAAATCTCTGGATATCAGAGTTCCAATGAAGTCTGAATAGGCGCAGAATTTTATATGTATTTATATTTTGTTTAGTGTTTTCCGGGCCTAGACTAGTTATTTATCCGTGTTGCTTCTAGCCCTGCATTCCCTGCCTGGCTGCCACATTACTGCAATCCCAAAGTTTTTGTTGAAACTTTGTTGTCAGTGAATTATATTAGGCAAACAACATGTTTGACATCAAATGGTTTTTCAATGTAGAGAAAAAGAAATAGAAGAACTTGCCTAAGTTTGGGACATTCACAAATTGTAGCGCTGATCCCGAAATCACATATAAATCACAGACAGCTCTCATGCATTTGAATGCAACTGAAGATATGGTTCAGTGTTTCCTGCTATAGAGGCAGTTATATGATTCTATAACACCCAGAGCAGAGAAGGAGATGTGTCCTTCATCAGTGTGTAGTCACTAGAGCTTGGAAGGAGACCTCTGTTGTGGATTAAAACTGAAAACTGGCACATTCTGGACCTTGTTTATTGGGTCTCTGAATGTGCAGACTTACTCTACACATTCTATTCCTGGCGCCTAGAAGTTTATTCCTTTTCTAGGCTTCAGAAAAAAATGTAATAGTCACACAAATAAACTTAATCTGCATTGCAAGACACTGCTACTATCAACGCAGCTGCCTGGCTACACATACAGGGACTTGGAAAAGTTTTCACATGTTGTCACCTTACAGCCACAAATTTGAATGCGTTTTATTAGGATTTTATGTGACAGACCAACACAAGGGTGGCATGCATTCATATTTGCCCCCCTTTACGCTGACACCCTTGAATCAAATCTATTGCAACCACCCTTTGCATTGAGAGGTCACCTAAACTAGTAAAAAGAGTCTGCTTTTTGTGTTGTCAGTTCTATTTAAAGATGTCTTGTAAAGTCCTTGGAAGTTTGTTAGAAAACTTTAGAACTTATAGGTCAGCGCATATTTATTCACACCTACGGCAGATTTAGGTAAAGCAGGAATGCCCGATATATTTACATTTCTATCAACCAGTGTTAGTCATGTTTTACCTTTTTGGTATCATAAGTAAAGCTGGTCCAATGTTAATAATCCAATGTTAATTTCCATCTTGTTGCAGTTTGTGTATGTGTTTTCGGCAGGGGGTTGGCCATGTGGTATTTGTTTGGTCATATGACAGTGAAATATGTGCAGGATTGTGGGGTGTTTCACTGAAGCAGAGACTCATTGTATTTTGAAGCTGTTGAAAGGTTAGAGAAATATATACATACATATATATGTAATATTAGTTCATTTCAGTGAAATCTGTGGAGGAAGCTAAATATTAGGGGTGATGGTAAAGAGGCCTTCCAACCCTGAAGACTTAGATCTCATCACCAAAGATAAAGGGTCAGAATATCAGTGGAAAAATGCAAGAAGTTGTTTTAGCAAGAAGGGTTTGATTGTGGTAATGCCATTTTTTAAAATTACTACTGATTTTACATTGCTATATTATCCTTTGAGAAATTCCTGTCACCTTCCATCAGAAGGAAACTTCTTGGTTGAAAAAAATAATAAAAAATCTAAATCTGACAGCAGTATGAATATTTTGGGCTTAACTCTACAGCATATGAACCGGCGTGGACATCTGTGCAAAACTTGAGTTGAATGGTTGAGTTCATCATTCACTGAGTGATGTATACCATCGTACCTGCAGTGACTCATGTTTCTTGTTTCAACATATTGGCTTGGGTAAAATATTTGTCCACATTTTAACAATGGACCTTATTCTGTTTATTTGGTGGTGAAGCTGCAATTTGGGTCATTTTGATTTCTGACAGATTAATTGTGAGAAATCTGCTGTGTTGTTTTCCTCAAATTTCTTTCCATGGTTGATTATATCAAATGCAGCATTCCTACTCGTCCACCCCTGCTGGTTGTAATGTCATGTGTTTGTGAGTGCGTCTTTCCAGATGCATGGCCTGGAGTCAGATGTTAAGGGATGCAGGGCTGGATGAGCTGTGCCCCTTCCAGACCCGCAAACAATTATAACTCGCAGAGACTGCTGCTTCACTAAGCCACGAAGTAAAAAAAAAATGTAATCTATAATCAGTTTAGTTTTCATCCTTCTTACTTTTGTTTTGTATTAACAAACAAAACAAAACAAAGGGGCCACTAAGTGATTTATTACTGTGAGCTTTTTTAGACATTTTTAGAAGCAGAAGCCAAAACAAGTAGAGAGAAAACTGGGTAAAAGTGACTGTCATCATAGTTGGCGTATTTCCTTTTACATTCAAATGTGTTTTCTCTTTTCCTCTGCTGTATATTTTATTGTATACATATGAGTACACGCTTTCATCCTGTGTCTAAATTTAGATGTGCTACCAGATGTGGTGTGTTTCGTGGTCCTTTTTGTGTGCATGTGTTGTCTAATGTACTCATCTGCTTGGGCAAAGATCTGTGTGCTTATTTGTGCAGTTAAACAACATATTTGAAGCATCTTAAGTCATTAATGTGACAGAGTGACTGGGATAAAGTGGACCAGTCATGCCCTCTTCTGGATGGATGGATGATCTGACTAAAGTTACTGGAGGTGGATGTTGATAAGTCGAAGAGGGAGGTGATGAAATAAGTTTTAGTAAGGGATTGCTTTATAAGGTAAGCAGAAAACAACTAGGGAGAGGAGAAAATAAGTAGTTGCTGAAATGTGAACTATATGAGTGAAAAAAGGCGAAGTCCAGATGCAGCCCTACAGGGGTTTTGTGTGTGAACAAACAGCATTATGAAGACCAACGAACACAGCAGTCCGAACATGGAAAGCGCCATAGTCCAACTGGAAGCTAATCAAGACATGGCATAAACTGTGACAGGATGAGTAAGGATGGTATTAATCAAATGAGCAGCTAAGAGGCTCATACTAACTCTGGAGGAGCTGCTGAGATCCGGAGCTCATGTGGGAAGATCAGTTGACAGGACAAATAGTTGGGTGTTCCACGGACCTTTGTAGAGGAGTGGCAAGAAGAAAGCAAGTTTTATTTAAAAAAGCTATAAGATCTGTTTGCAGTTTGCCACAAGTCATGTAGGAGACAGAGCTAAAACGAACCTGCAGGACAATCCTGGATGAAAAGTTGTTAGAGGCTGCAAAAGACTTGAGACTGGGGCAGAGGTTCACCTTCCAGCAGGACAAAAACCTTAAACATAAACAAAACATGTTCATGTGTTAGGATGGTCCAGTCAAAGTCCTGACCTGAATCCAATTGAGAATCTGATTTGAAAACTAACCTTTAAAGACATCTTCTATTCAGTTTGACTGAGCTTGAGTTGTTTTTGTGAAAAAATAAAGTGACATAACTACTACTACTAACAAAGTGTGCAGAGCTGGCAGAGACATACCTCCAAAAGGTTCCAGCTGTAATTACATTCAGCGGTAGTTTCAGTAAGTATTGCCTCAGGAGTGGGTGAATATAAATGCAAGCCACACTTTTCAGATTAAAAAAAAAAAATCTGTATTTTCTTTCCACTTAAAAACATACACTACTTTGTTTTGGTCTATCATATAGAAAAGCCCATTAGGCTTGGCACACACATTTTATACACACAGACAGGTCACACTTGATAATCCTGAATTACATGTGCCCCCTGGTGGCTGAGTTAATGAGCTGGCACCAGGTGTGGAGGTGAGGCAGACTGGAGCAGAGAATCACAGAGAATAACTTAACACCGCCTCATGTGGCTAATTACAAGTCAGGAAGTCTATGATGAAGACACGGAGTCCCAACCACTGCTTATAAAAATGTAGACAGGCAGGAGGGACCTGTCTCAGTCACGGTCTGATTTGAATAAGAAAACACTCCTTCGTTTTGTTAATTTGTTTGTCTTGAGTTTTTCAAACTTTAGGTTTAATATTTTTTATGTATTTTCTACTCTTTGCAGTTGCATGTTTTCCCTTGTGATTTAGCATTGAATCACACTCTGTGCCCCCCTGCAGCGGTTTGTTGTTCCTGCTCTCCGACCCTCTTATGACCAGTGGTTGGTCTGTCAGTGTTGTGTTCTCACCCTCTGTGGGTCTGGGAGGGGGAGACATAGCACTCTGTATCTGATTACACCATGTTTGTCTTGCTGTGAATTAAAACTGGGGAAGAGACGCTGTAACATTTTATGGTAATACATCCAGCCACTGTAAAAGCTCTGTAAACGTGGACATTCATTAGTCATTCAGATGCTTTTTCTTGCTGTCTTTGTATGATTATTCAAGAATCCATCTTTACATTGTATTTTTTTGTTTTATATTCTAACCTCATGGTGCTTGAGTTTAGTTTTGTCGATTATTTGTGATTTTTACTGTCTGGTAGTTATTTGTATTTGAGATGCACCGATCAGAGGTTTTTTTGGACGATTTTCAGTCACCGATTTTGTGCAAATCTGACCTTCTGAAAATCGATATTTGCTAATTCCATTTTTTCTTTAAGAACTGCAACCCAAAATATGTTTTGTACTTTCTGTATAAGTACATTAAAATAAAACGAAGAATTTTATGAGAAGCAACTCAAAGTTTCAGAGCTGCCTCACTGCATTACTGGAATTCTACAAGTTCAGTAAAATCCTGTAAGTACTATCTGTTACTGCACAAATAAATCTCATTTAAAGGCGCGGCGCTGTTGGTGTAGGTGTTAAGAGCACGACTGTGTACAGAGGCTATAGTTCTCGATGAGGCTGTCCCGGGTTCGAGTCCCGGACTCAGCGAGCTTTGCCGGATGTCTCCCCCTGTCTTTGTCCTCTTTCCTGTCTACCTACTGTCAAAAAAATTAAATATATAACAGTATTTAACTCTGTATTTGAGGGAAATGAATCCTCCATTGTTGTAACCATAAATGAGCCTGCAGAACCCTCTCTGTTACTGATTTTTAAATATTTATATTGTTAGCAGAGGCAACGTCACACTGTGTGTGTGTGGGAAGGAGCAGTCTTCAAGCCATTTTAGGTTGTTTAATGTCTGTTATTAGCATTAGCAGTAGGTCACTTTTGTTCAAATGTATTTTTTACATATTTGTTAAAACTGTCACTATGTCCTGACAGTAGAATATGGGACAGGTAATCTGAGAAAAAAATTAAAAACCTCTGGCTCCTACTGCCATTTGCAGAAATACACTGCTCCTGGTCAGAAACAACCAATCAGAGCCAGGAGGAATGTCTTAGTGCCATAGCTGTTTATCTGCCGTCGTTGGTGGCCCTGCTTACTGGCCTGCATGTTCACAGCAGGCTCTGCTGTGGGGGGAGCTAACATATCTCCACTGTTCTTCCTCTTTTGAGTTGTTTTGAGTCTTCTTTTTCCCTCAGTAACAGATTCATCTTGGGCTGGACGATATGGACTTAAAATTTAGAGACGATATTTTATTGTAATAACAAAAGTGATGATAAAAGGCTATAACTTATTTTCTGTCATTTTTTTAGGTAAGGGTGTGGCTATATATATATATATATATATACACAAACATACAGTGCCTTGCGAAAGTACTCGGCCCCCTTGAACTTTTCAACCTCTTGCCACATTTCAGGCTTCAAACATAAAGATATAAAATTCAAATTTTTTGTGAAGAATCAACAATAA